CAGCACAGAAAATCTAATTCAAGCAACAGTTGATAGGCATGTAATGCAATTATGTATTTTTTTCTCTGAGTACTGTTAAAGAGACAGATACATAGTGATGCAGAGGCGACAGAAATGGGCTCTATTTAAAGAGAATGTCGCAATCTAGCAAGTATTAACCCCGAGGCTCTTCTGAACAATTCTCAAGCCAAACAAAGAATTTGTCCCGAAATTACCACACTCATAAAATGCATCAGCTAGACACAATTGATTCAATGTCTCCATTAGCTGAGAAAGTTGCTTTTTAAAAAAATGAAAGAGAAGAGTTAAAAAAGAGTTAACAAACCTTGAAAACCTGCGCCAGGCCTGGTCTGTGCCACTGTCAGAGCACAGTACCATTCTCGCTGGAGGGGACTGTAATGTTATCCTTTTTAACTTTCCTTTTGAGAGTTATTTTAAAGTTCTGGCAGTGCTGCGCCCAGGAGGACTCTTGCAGGTTTGGAGCTGTGAGTTCAAGCGGGATCCTCCACAGGGGAGTAAACGTCCATCCGTGTGCATCTCCTTGCCGAAGGGAGGGGTGGGGAAGGCTAGCTGTGCTGTGTGGGATGCAAACCGGGGCTTTTTTGGTTTTGAGCGGGGCTGGATAAATAAGGGCAGGAGATTGGATGGCTTGGATGATGTTTGAGAAGACAGGTTCAAGTGATAATATGACCAACAAGGGGTTCTGGAGGGAAGAATTGGAAGCTTTGCTCTCCTGTGAGGAGTGTGGAGACAGCGCAAACATACCAGCTACTTACTTAGATATCCTTGTGATTCTTTCTGCATAGCTGTTATCGGACAGTCTTTATGTGTTAACAATAACTGTTTCAGCTGTGCTACCTCATTTTTCAGCATGGAAACCTCATTCTAAAAAAGAAAGAGAGAATTTGGTTTGCAACAAAGCTTTAACCAGGCTCTTCTGCAAAGCTTAAACCCAAGAACACAAAAACTGCTCCACAACTTTGGAAGAACTGAGCAAAAAAGGCACTCGGTGCTTGCGTGACAGGTTTATGTTAACATCTGCCTGTGACAGTATTTTATAACTTCTGAAGACAGCCTTGCTTCCAGATTTGGTGACATAAATTGACAAATGAACTAACTTCATAGCACCAGAAATACTCAAGGCAATGTTTGAATCCACTCAGGAAATATTTTGGCTCTATGCATCAGGCCGGGGGGCAGACCCATGCGGGCAAAGGGAACATTGCTGTGCCCAGGAGTATGGTGGCAGGACTGCTGTCACCTAAAGTTCTGCTGCAGCCTGCGCCTCCTGTGTGCTGCTCTCACCTCTGTGTTTTTGGGGAGTGTCATTATGCAACTGTTTTTTCTGCTCTTGGCAGCACACAGGTACAGCTCTGCACAAGGCAGAAGTACTGTACCCACCATAAGAAGGGAACCACTGTAAGAAAGATTTTTATATTATATTCAAGATATTTTCATCTATCCAGCTAGTTTTCCTTAATTGGAAGACTGGACTGATCTATTTACATTTCTATCTTGCAGGCTTTGAATGAGGGTTTAACTACATGTCTTACTCTGAAGAAATCTTTTACAGTCGAGTTAATGGCACTTCAAAAAAAAAATCCCCACAGAAAGCAGTGACAAGAAAAGAAAATAAATACAACTCCATCTAGCAAAGGCTTCTAAATCCCAAGACAGCTTTTTCCTGGCTTATCCTGCTAAAATGTAATTATTTCTTTAATTGAAGCACACGCATCTTGATTAACCAGCCGATTATGCCTGAGCTTCTGCTAGAAGCTGGCTGTGCAGGGGCAGCCCCGAAGGCACTGCCAGCCCCTCTGAGCACAAAGAGCCCCTCTGTGTCCTCAGGGGCGCAGACAGTGGCTCGCACCTGAAGCTGCATGTTTGTCTGGGTGAGCTCTTCTGCTTTCTTTTCCAGTGACATCACCCAGACCTTCCTCTTCTGTCTGCAGCGCGTGGCAGCAGCTCGGTTCCTTTCCAGAAATTTCCGCCTCCTCTCATCTGGGTCTTCGTCCACCACCCTCCTCCGGCGACCTCCAGTTGGCTGTGGCGGCTGTATCGTCTGCGTGGGCTGCATCTGCTGCGCCGCCGGCGAGACCTGGAGGGGAAGAAGAGGTTTCTCAGGGAGTAATGAGGGGGGGAAAGTTACAGAAGGGGGTGCTGAAACGAGAAGGGAAATCTCACACACACAGTCTGCTCCCCGGCAAGGTCTGCAACAGGCGCGAGTCGAAAGCTGCACCAGATGCCACTGAAATTAGCTGCTGGCAAATCCTTACTGTGGTCAATGGGGAGATTTAATTTTTTTTTTTTTAATAATCCTCTGAATATTAGGAAGGGACAGTTTTCTCCTGCTACAGTAAGTTATTAAAAACATTCATTTTGGTGCATTCTCTGCTGCCACTGATTTCAAACCTGAAATGTTGAGTTTCTCTCAGGAACTGCTTTAATCAAAGCAGAGGACTGAGGCGGCCTTATTTCTGTCTCTCTCTTTTTTTTTCCCCCAGTTGCCTCCAAAATTTTAGGCCATTTCTGTTTCCCAGGCTTCACCACCTCTGCTTCATGGTTTAGCACCTCTGGAGACATAAGCCACAGAGCATTTTGGACCTGAGTGGAACTAGGAAGTTGTGGACTGGGATCACATAAGGCCAGCAGATCTCATTGCCCATCATCTAGGGGCAAAGAAAGGATTTAGGTACCAGAACTCAAACTTTTTTGGTATCCCTGCACTGTGTGGAGAAGGGATATTCCTCTTACCAGAAGTTTCCATTTGATCCCTGTGGATGCTATACTCCCTATTATTCCACAGCCTGGCTTTGACAGTAGAGGCAACCACATCCAACCCACTGCTACAAAACTGTGGAAAAGTACGTATTTATGTTTTTTCAAGTGCAGGGTAGTGTTGATCCTGCTTCTGAGAATAACTGGCCCATGATACTACATAAAAGATGTGTGGTGGGGGCAGCCCCTTACAGACTGTGCTCCGACTCCTGGACAGATGGAACATTCCCATGTCCCTGTCAGGAACCAGCACCATGTTTAACATTCAGCAGCCTGGGAATAGCCAACTTTTGGACTACTTTCCTGCCTCTCTGTGGTACCCAGGCCACAGGGCTCCTGAGCAACCCTCTCTCCCTATCTGCTTGGGGTTTGGGAGCCTAACCCATGGGTCCTATTGCTGACACGCAGGAGGAGTCACTGTTCATATTGCTGCTGCCATTCCTGCACAGCCTGGAACTGTCTGGAAACTCGAAATGTTGACTCAAAACTAACCCTCCTGTTCTGGCAAAGGCCCAAACCTCCAAGGTGCTTCCTTTTGACTCCAGGGAGTGGACATACTCAGGGCTTTGTCAGACTGAGCCCTGAATTTCAATTGCAGCAATTAACATGTGTTTGCCTAACACCTCTGTCTGTCTCAATTAAAATGATACTATCGTCTTACATCTTGCAAAGTTGAGGTCGCTTTTCTGTCTAGAATTTAGTTTGCTCCCTCCTCCAGCTGACTTGTGGCAATTACAGTGGCAATTTTATGTGTAATTATTCTCTGCATCTGATAACGCTTTTTGCATAAAGCCGAATTTATTCCCAGCTTTAATGTTGCACAGTCAGGAAATGTCTCTCACGGGAGCAGAAAAAAAAATTAAAACAAAATAACCTTCTAAAAATATACAAGCCATACAGCATTTTCTGACTGATACGTCAAATTTCGCCTTGCATGTATGTTTGCTGCTAAAATCGCCAAGCCTCTGTCCACACTGGAGGTTGCAGTCCCAGGTCTATCTATGCCAACTGCAGTGGGCATAGGTGTGAGCACCACACAGGACCACTAGCCAGCACCACACAGGACTGTTGGTTACAGCCCCCATCCCCACCAGCATCCCTGGGCTGTTGCCAGGAAACTGCTTCCAAAGGGTGCCAGCTGCTCCCTGTCCACCAGGGCCAGGCAAGCCACCTCTTTAGTAATGTCTGAGTGGGCAGGTTTTAGAATTATCTTTTAATGTCAACAGCTCATCAAAGGCCTTTCATTTTCTCACACACAACACCTTTCCAGACTTCAGAGACCTGTTATTTATGTTTCCTTATCCTTTTTCACTCTTTTTTTATTCAGCTTTAAAAATTCTTGTTTCTTAACTCTCTCAGTGGGATCTGAAAAAGGCAGAAAAAGGCAACTATACAATTCTCTCTTTTTTATTTTTTAACTTTATATGGTCATTTTATCCTGAATAACTAGTAAGTCATTTTGTTTTCAGAATGTACCAGGCAGTCTCTGAGTAGTCAGAGTGCATTTTCAGAACAACAAAAGCTTCTCTCCATCTCTGACATATATTAATTATAAAGGTTGCTATTACTTCACTAATAATGTCACATGGGATAATTAACTGAGTCTTAACTTAACTTGATAGCTCTTAGCCCTGAAATCTGTTAGGCTATATCTTAGTAACTGCCAAAGCATCATACCCTAGTAGGATTTTGCTGCCCTGCCTGGGGACATAAGAAAAAAAAAAACTAAATATAAAAATTTAGGTTAATTTTGGTTTTTTAGAGGATGGTAATCATGCATCCATAATGCAGACAAACAAAGGACAGCTAAGAGAATGAAATGACATCCAAATCCCTACTCTGCCTAAGCTATCACTGTCAAGTTTGATATGAGAAAGTCTTTACAGGACCAACACAAGAATAATAGTATATTTTTTGTAGTAGTTGAGGCAACATAGCTAGAACTTGATAAAAATATCTCACTTTCTCAGAAAGATACCTGTCAGAAAGTGATTTCTACTTTTCTGCCTGATCCAATATTTCTTTCTGTTCTTAGCAACTCTACCACAAAACTAAGACACATTCACTCATTCTATGAAAGCATAATTCATTGGGGTCCTGTGTATCGAAATGGTAGCTGAAAAGCATGAAATGAATTCTGATATTACAGAAGGGTGCGGTGTAGAATAACAACAGTCTCAGCATGGGAGTACATGGCTTACAGCAGCGTGGACCATGCTGTCATTTGGCAGGTGGTTTGGAATGGAAGAATCTGGCTTAGAAGAATAAGGAGGTTAATAATTAGTAAATCGCACCATAAAATTAACGTCTGCTGGAGTAATCTGATCCCCAAAGAGGCCATTACCATGGGGACTATGGATGAGCTTTGAAAGTAATAACCATTTGGTTATTACTCAGCAAGCCCTTCTATTCTCCCATCTAATGCATCTGTTCAGAAATCACTATTGCCTTCCCACCATGGGAGCAGACACACAAAAAGAGGTCTGCTGCCCGGGGAAAACCACTGGCCCTAGGATTCCTACTCCATCACTCTCTGTTCCCATCCCCTTGGTGACACTTACACCCACGGATAAGGTGAAGACCTCTGATGCCTGATGGGGTCTGTTGCCTGCAGTGACATGCTGTGCAAAGCTTACCTGACTGCACGGACCTAGCTCCAGAGATTGTGTGGTGCTGGGACACAGGGTGACTCTAACATAGCTTTGTGGCTGCCAGTCAGTCCACCTACCCTGGTGCCTGTATCTCTTCTTGCCTGCCTGTGAGTCTTTTGTGGTGCCAAGCTAGCAGGGAATACAAAGTACAAGAAGTTGAGGCTGCCCTAACTGTGTAACAAAGTCATGGACACCCTCAAGTGGGTCCAAAGGAGGGCCACTGGGTCATTTACCTTATCCTTAAAACTGTGAGGCTTGTTTTCTCTGGTAGCTGTTTTGTCCTCACCTGTTAAAAGTGGTACTATGGATGTTTCGCAGCAGTGCTCCATACTATGGGATCTGACACCCTCAACTGCATTAACATGCTTATTCTCCCGACCCCTCAATGAAGTGTCAGTAGTATTACTCTTGTTTTAAAAGCCTCAGAAAGGTTAAGTGACTTCCCCCATCTCAACCATAGAGCACTCAATCTGCTAAACATAACTTTATCCTTACATTTTCATGGATCTCCAAGACAGCCATCAGGTTACTTTTGGTTTCTCTGTTATGAGATAATGTCTTTTTATTGGAGTTTTTAAACAACTCCAAGGAAAATAACTCATTAACAGATGGGAAAATAATTGAATTCACAAAGTAAAATCTGAACTAAACTTAGGAAAGCTCTGGACATCTTCTCACAGGGGAATCTGCTGCTCTCTTACTTAGACTGCTTCTCTAAAGCTGACTATTCATTTTACATTAGCAAATGCTTTAGGGAAATCCCATGTGCTTGCAGCCTCTGCAATAATAAAGCTAGATGTTAGTAAATAGTTAATGTTGTGGGACACTGGGATGTCGGCCAAATCCTCTCATTTTCTTTAATGTTTTCTAAGAGCTTGTCTGAAAGGTATTTGCAAGCAACACAATACTTCACAGATTGAACATCTTATAGCTGGCACTCCTCTTTGTCCTCACATTCTATGCACTGCCCATTTGTCTTCCTTAACTTGACTCATGTTACAGTCACCGCCCCCAGAGCTTTGTATTTCTTGTGCGATCCTGGTGCAGAAGCCGATCATCTTAAGACGTTAATAGAATTCCTCTTAAAAATGACTCTGCTAAAGTTCATGGTCACTAGTTAATTAGTTCAAGAAACATACAGTTCAGATCTTGAATTATCCAAACTGCTGAAGCCAATATACCTGGTCCAAAAATTAAGTCCTCCATCTCATTCAATGGAGACCTTCACTGAGTTGTCACCTGAATACAACTTAAAACTGCCCTCCTGGTTTAAATCTCTCTCCTTGGACTGGCTTCGCTATCTGTTTCTTCTGTCACAATGTGCACCAACTATTGCCCGTGCTCTCTGCTAATCTTGACTTTCTCCAATACTCTGCAGATGTCTGTCCCCTTTACAGGGTTTGAATCCTTTCTTTTTCTCTAAGCCACTGTATCTTGCCTTAGAATGACCTCTATTATCTTCAGTCTTGAACACACACAAACACATATACACAGTGCTATTTCATTTCACTAAAGACTTTGTTATGTATTTCTGCAGGTAGAACACATAGAGCTCTTTAAATCTTGGCCTGAGAAGTTCAGGTTCAAGCACATTAAGCAACATATGTAATATGCTAATCTCTGTAATAAACATCATCCATAAAAGGATATGTGGCAATCCTCAGAGCTCAAAGCACTGAAAAGCCTTGGAGCTCCTTATAAAGTAAGATATTACAAATGTCTAGTAAATTAAGCAGCAAAACAAGTTTGTTGCTTCACTCCATTTTATGAATAACATTTGAGCTTCCCCATCACTGGTAGCAGACATTTACAAGCATCCCGAGGGGCTTGTGTCTAACAAGACACGTGTGCAAGAAGAAACAACACAGGGATCAGGCTTTAGCTTCACATAACAGCAAAACTCAGCAACGCAGCATGGCATGAAGGTCTACCTGTGCTTGTCCGCCTGAGTGCAGCGGCGGGTGCGGCGAGGTCTGGTGATGTGCTGGGTGTGCGTGAAGGTGCGAGTGAGAGTGGTGGTGGGGATGGTTCTGCTGGTGATGAGGCTGAGGGTGAGGGTGGTGCGCCGGATGCTGGTGCTGATGCGGGTATGAGTGATGAGGTGGCAGTGTCTGGTGCTGATGAGGATGTGAGTGCATATGATGGTGTGGCGTCTGGTCCTGCCGCGAGCTCATCATTTCCATCATGTGGCCCATGGTGTTCATGTTCCCATTCGACATGGTGGCAGGATGATGAGTCAGTGCTGCCTTCAGTCTCTGGAATAGAACAAGGCAAAAAATTCAACATTCATACATGGTGATCTGAGCAATTAGAGTAAGACTTCTGCTGTCGTAGAAATGGTGCCTTGTCTTGTGTTTTGAGATTTTTTATCTTTTTTCTTGCTGTTCCCTTAATAAAAGGCATCTTCTTTCGGTTTGATAAAGAATGTATTCTTAGGCTCTAATCTAGTTTTCCACTGTAAATATTTAAATATATAAACATCTGAACTGCAATTTAACAGTTAGACATTTCCTACTGTGCTTCTGAGGAAAAATAATTGGCTCTCATCCTTCTCTCTTTGGCCAGCTCAGTAGGGTTAGCTTCATCAAGCTTGTATTCTTGCAACTTTTAAAAAGGAAAGTCTGAATAAGATACAACAAAGTGCTCCTCTTGCTCTTACTACAGATATTATTTAAAAGGCTCATGGAAAAATATATTGCATTGAGGTGTTTTCCAAATTCAGGTGTACTAGCACCTAACCTGTTCTTTCATCACACAGAGAAAATAATGAGGGTGGTTTCAACTCAATCCTCTTTCTTTCCTGGAGAGCTTAAACATCTGCTGTGTTGTTACTGCATGCTTATCCTTCTTTCTATTTTGTATTTCTCATGTTTTGTACTGTCATTGGATTGGGCCCTGAAATCTGACCAGGACAAAACTCTCCTTAATATCAATGGGATTTCTTCACTTTTACCTGAACACCACCAAAGGGCAGGAGGAAAAGTTGCCACATTGTGGACTTCAGGAAAGGGCCTTTGTTTACTAAGGATATAGCTGAAATACAGAGCAAAAAATGTTCCCTTCCAGCACAATTACTGGGTCATCCCAAAGCCATGAGCTGTATTGGCATACAAAGGTAGACCCTGACAGACATCAGCTAGGGGAAGAGCTTCTTCCAAACCCATAGAAACCTCTTTCACGTCCATGGTTCTGCTCAACATAGAACATTATCTATTGGCAGCCACTCAAGACCTCTTTATATTTTTGAAGAAGTCAAGTGGTTTACTCTTACTAATGCAAGTAATTAGCAGAAAATGGTAATATAAAAATGGAAAAAAGGAGGTCCATGATATCACTTGATGCCAGACTACCACGATTTGAATAACCTATCAACTACCTCGTAATTCATTATCCAGCCAGCGGATATCATGAATCAGTAAGAGATGCCACCAGAGGAGAGCTGGTAAGAAACAGCAGTGGTAGGAGGCACAGGGGTGTGCCTTTCC